ATACCACAGGCACCTCGCTCGCCTGTTCTGGCCGTATGCAAATCAGCGCCTCCGCGGGGTTTGCGTAACTCGGCAGCAGCGATTTTCTCCCGCTGCCAATAATCATTTAGCGGAGAGTTTTCGCGACATCACATTCCGCCCATTGTTAAGCGAACTCTCTCGGAGGGCGCGGCCAGAGAGGTCAGAGTTCATGCAATTGCTGCGCAACTTTCGAACTGACGCGCATGACCTCGCTCGCCTACCAACTATGTGACACCTGTTCGGTCTGGCGGTGCGGTTGTGCAGCGGCGAGGGAGGTGCTGCCGTTGGGTGGGGGGGCGGTGCGGTGGTATGGCTTGGGATTAGTTGAAGGATTGTGGGCACGTACATTCAGGTATGTAAACACACACACACACACACACACACACACACACACACACACACACACACACACACACACACACACACACACACACACACACATACACACGTATACATAGATATATACATACATACATACATACCTGCATATTCATATACATTTTGTACCTATACATAGCCGCAAGTTTAGAGAGATGCACATACACAGGACATACATCACGTACCTGGACAGCCCAGCAAAGGTCAGCGGGGAGGGCGAGGTGAAGTGCCGAGAGCGCGAGCCACGCCCTCGTCACCTGGACGCCCCAACATCGGCGGCGGTGAAGGTCCTTCTTCTCGCATGGGACGAATGGAAAACTGCCTGGCGCCTCCTTTTCCCCTTTTCTCGTATATAGGGATATGCATTACATGTGAATATGCATTTGTTTGTTTAGTCACATATGTCCATGCTCTGGATATATGTCACGTACCTGGATAGTCTAGCAGAAGTGACCGAGGAAGGTTGAGGAGACGCTCCCATTCTCTCTCTCTTGATGTGCCGGGGTCCTAGGGCAGCTGCAGAAGGACATGCGCCTCCAAGAACCCGCTGGGATTCGTACACCAGGCGCGGACGCAGAGGAAAGCGAGATGGAAAGAAAGATGTCGAGGGGCTGTCGGGCGAAGGGCGTGGGCGGCTGCTGTAAGGTGCTGGGCCTGCTGAAGGATTCCCAGCTTTTAGGTCTCTTGAAGTCCGCTGAAAAAAAGAGGGAAAAAATATAAACAGATGGATGTTAGTGATAAAGGGGTACCGTGGATCTATTATCTTATCGTGGAATGTAACCGCTCATCGATGGATCAAGTGCTTTGGATGATTAGCGGTGGATTTTTTCCTGAAATATAGAGGGTCCTGAGGCCATTTGTATCGGAAAGTGTATTTTAGAAGAGTCTGAAGGTCATCGGCTGTATTATTAGCTCGAAGTGCTTGTTTGACTTTTTCATCTGATTAATGTGAGGGCTGAATGGGATTGTGCGTAATTAAAAGGGGGATATTGTGTAAAATAGAAATGGTATTTGCATCATATGTATTTATTTAATCAATGCGAGCTTATCATGGGACTTAAAGGATTAGTAACCATGCTGCTGGTTCATTTTAGAGTATGAATCTACATTAGTAAACAGCCAGGCTAGATTATCTCCATTTTCCTCATTTTTTTCCAATCCACATCCTTCTTCCTTTCCTCCTGTTTTGTTTTTTTTCCTCCTCCTCCGCCTCCTCCTCCTCCTCTTGCTGCTCCTCCACCTCTTTCTCCCCCCACTCCTTCTCCCCTGTTCTTCTCCCCCCCTTCATCAAATAACCGGGGGGGGATTACAGCAAAGTAAGCCGAGGGAGGGGCGAACATTCGGGGAAAGCGGCGGCGGTCACGCATGCAGGTTAAATGTCTCGGCCGTTCGTGTTCTCGCTCCCTTGTTCTCGCGTTAAAACCGTATCTACCGGGGCGTGCGTCTGAATCAGCGAATCAGTGCCTGTAGAAATGTAGTATGTACTATATCTTCCGTGATAATAAACGCGTTTTTGTGTGCGTGTGTATATATAAGAGCTTAGACATCGCCTAGGCTATCAGTAACAGTTCAAGCGACGGGGATTTCAGTGTGCTGTCAATGGTACAGCGAGCGGTCCCCCGGGAGTGCAAAACACCGGGTCGGAAACAACAGGTGGGGAGCGAGACTGAGTGACCGCTTGGGGGGAGGGTGGAGGGGAGAGGGAGAGAAAGGGGAGGAGAGGAGAGAAGGGGAGAGGAAAATGGGAGAGGGAAAGAGGGGTTAAAGGGGAGTAGGAGACTGTGAGAAGAAGTAGGAGAAAATGAGGAGGAGGAGGAGAGGGAGAAGAAGAATAAGAAGTGAGAGTAAGAGAGAGACAGACACGGAGAAAAAGAGAAAGAAAGACACGGTTGCGAGAGGATGTGGAGTCGGGGGTTAGAGAGGGAGGAGAAGAAGGGGGGGGCGAGCATTTCCTCACCTCCCACGCTCACCTTCAACCTCAAACCTGATCTCTGTCGGAGGCGGACTCTCCTCCGGCGACACAGCTCACGCGACTCGCCACTCACGTCTCCGGGGCTGAATCACTCGGCTGGTGCGGTCTGTCACCGGCTTTTTTTTATGCCGGTCTATTGTATTATTTTTTTCATCTTTATCAGTTTTCGGTGTTGGGTAATCGGCCCTTCACCCCAGAAATGCTGTCACCGAAGAATTCTTTCTTTCCTTTTTTCCACGTATGCACGCAGAGTACAGTGCTGTCCTGCGCAAAATCAACATTTCGCAACGGACTTCCTCTCCGGCTGAATTTTCTCTCCTCCTCCTCCTCCTCCTCCTCCTCCTCCTCTGTCAGAAATCATTAGTCATGTCCGCGTTTTCTCTCCGTTCCGTCGTTTCGGTGGGATATCCTGGTGCGGGCGGCCCATCCTGCAGCTTTGCGAAGGAGGTATGCCTAGTAATAGCACCGAGGAGGAGAGCAGGCGTGCTTGGGCAAGCGAGCAGACAGGCGCGTGGACGAGTGAGTCATCAGGAGGGAGCAGGCAGGCAGTCGCCGCCGCCGCTGACTCACCACGCCTCACAACCCTCTCGATACTTCCTTCCGTGGTTACTCTCTGCCCTCATGGTGGGGGATTCTCTCCCGTTTCCTCATTTCCTACAGGTTCTCTCTCTTTTTCTCTTATTTTCTCTGTAAATTTCTCCCTTTATCCTCTCTAATCTCTCCCTCTTCCTCACTGTAAATCTCTCTCTCTCCCTCCCTCCCTCCCTCCTTCTCTCTCTCTCTCCTCTCTCTCTCTCTCCATCTATCCATCTCCCCTTCTCTCCCTCTCCCTCGTCCCCCTCTCTCCATTTCACTCCCTCTCTCTCCCTCCCTCATTTTCTTTTGAAACCTTTCACGTCTACCCTCTCTCTCTCTCTCTCTCTCTCTCTCTCTCTCTCTCTCTCTCTCTCTCTCTCTCTCTCTCTCTCTCTCTCTCTCTCTCTCTCTCTCTCTCTCTCTCTCTCTCTCCCCCCCCCCTCTCTCTCTCTCTCTCTCTCTCTCTCTCTCTCTCTCTCTCTCTCTCTCTCTCTCTCTCTCTCTCTCTCTCTCTCTCTCTCTCTCTCTCTCTCCCTCCCTCCCTCCCTCCCTCCCTCTCTCCCTCTCCCTCTCCCCTCCCTCTCCCTCTCCCTCTCCCTCCTCACCCCCCCCCCCATGTTCGAAATACCACGGGATGCAAAATGCCGTCGTAAATCATAAGGAAAACCGCTCTATTTCACCCATTTTTCTCTGTCGCTAATTTGCATATCATTAGGCCCATGACGTCACTTCCCACTTCACGCTCCTTGTCTTCTCTCTCTCGGTTGGTCGTTAATTGTCATTAATTATCCTTTTAATTCGTCGCCACGTTTGGTTGGTCGCCATTCTGCGTTACAAGGCCTAGTTGGTGTTTGATTGTATAAGATTTGCTTTGTGTTGTCTGTATTTGGTGCGTGTGACTATGATTGTTGTCTGGTCCAGTAAGCATATGTGTTGCTTGTATTTACTTAGTATTTGCTTCTTTTTCTTCTTTATTTGCTGATGTTTTCGTTTATTTTGTTCATCTTTCATTTTTGTTGTATTTTTTATATAGATATGTATATGAGTGTTATATATTGATGATAAGAGTAGATTTAATTATTTGATATCTATTTTTTTTTGTCTTTTTATCCTTTTGTTTTTGATGTTGCCAGTCTGGCGGTTATTGCGAGTATCAGGCACGAATATTGAAGTTGTTATAGTTAAAAGGCATATCTGTATTAGTCACTCGAGGAATTGGGTCGATATTTTGAAAAGAAAACTGTGCTGTAAGTTTTAGGAATAATTATTTTGGCAATTTGAACGAGATTACGAAGAATAACATTGATATAATTAGAAATAGACCTGAGCGAAGAGAGGAGAAAAGTGTCGGAGATAAGAACACATTAAAACGAAACACGTGGAATAGAACACGAGAAGCAGTGAAAGCGACACTAGCAACAATTTCCGAGAACCGAAATGGAAAGAAAAGTTCACGAAAGAAAGAAAGAAAGAAAAATCGAGCAAGGGTCACGCATAAAGAAAAGAATGATGGTGTAAACAGTCGTCAACACAAATAAACGAAGAAAAAGGAAGGTAGCTATGGGTGAAGGAGGTGGTAGGGGGGGGGGAGGTGTGAACTGTTCGTGACCAGGTTAACGGAGTAGTTTTCGGGGCGAAGAAGGTAGTGTTTTGCTGTGTGGCTGAGGTCAGGGTGTTCGTCCTTCCTCATGAGATATCGTGGGTGATGTCATTTGTTTTCATGTGACGGTAACTGTAGATGTATTTCTGTTAGCGAAAGATAATGATAAAAAAATTGTGATAATGTATTGAGAAATCGTAAGATAAGAGGTGTCTATTCGTTTTATTGCTCAGACAACATATAGTTATTGTTTAATTTCGTATTTATATGGATCATTGTTAACATAGAGAGCATCTGATTAGATATATTGTCTTTCTAGATTTTATATTAAAAAATATTAATGAATTTCTTTACAGCATCTATCTCTTGTCACCTTCCACCCACCCATAAGAACTACCACTTTGCTTATTGCTCCAGTGTCGTTAATGCCTTCCTCCTCCTCCTCCCCCCCAGCTGAACCTCTCGTTCGACGACACGCTGACGCAGACGTACGAGTATCCGAGCGAGCTGTCCCTGATGGAGGAGATGGGCTCCCCCGGCGACGACCTCCTCCCGTCCAACACCACGCTCGACTCTCCCTCATCGCAAGGTACAGACTCTTCGCCCTTCGCCCCTTCCCTTCCCCCCTCCCCCCTCGGCCCTCTCTCCTCTTTCACCCCCCCCACCTCCCCTCCCCCTTTCAACCACCTCTCCTCTTTCACTCCCTCCTCCCCTCACCTCTTCCCCTCTCCTCTTTCACCTCATTCACTCCCTTCCCTCCCCCTCTTCTCTTTCACCCTCTCCCCCCCCTACCTCCTTTCCTTCCTTCCTCTCAGGTTGTCTTTGTTCTGTTGATCGTTTGTCCTCTTTCGTAACTCCTCGTGTTTTTCCTTCATCATATCCGTCGTCTGTTTTACACTTCTTCGTCTTTCTTCTTCGTCTTTCTTTTTCTTCCTTTTTATCCTCCTCCTCCTCCCTCTTCTCCACTTTATTTTTTCTTTTTCTCTTTCTCTTCCTCCACGTTCATCATCATCATCTTTTCATCCTTTTCCATCTCTTCTTCTTCTTCTTCTTCTTCTTCTTCTTCTTCTTCTTCTTCTTCTTCTTCTTCTTCTTCTTCTTCTTCTTCTTCTTCTTCTTCTTCTTCTTCTCTTCCTCCTCCTCCTCCTCCTCCTCCTCCTCCTCCTCCTCCACTTTTCAAAATTTCAGTTATGTAAACATTTTACCTAGTTGTTTTGATTTATAATATTCTGTGATATTTACATGAAATGATTTTCCTCTGCAAAGACTATTGTTAAACATTTTAACACAACAAGCCTTAACCCAATAAGAGTAAATAAAAGTATATTTCAAGTCTAAATAATGTTGCTTTGAACGTGGTGTAACTATCCCACTATTCCAATTTATGTATTGGGATTGTTAATAGTCTTTCAGTGGAAATTATGGCGTTATGTTTCTTTTCACTTAATTGTGAATTTAATTGAACCGTCTGTAGTGCGTAATATTGTACATACTTGAATTTGTAATAGTTAGCCCTCAAACCCATTTTCTCACATAATTCTAAAAGAAAACGGATGTATTTTGGAGGTTTGGTTGTCAAGGGCTAACTATTACATTTATTATTTTTCTGCTTAAACGTGGTGTTGTTTTATTAACAGCTGCATTTGTTAATACGGAGTCGCTTTGTACATATATGATCAACCTATGATAATTGATATAGGGAATTTGATATATAGTTGACTTTTTTCTTTTCAAGTAATGAAATAACATTCAAATTTACAATGAACATCCTGGTGATAAATGCAGTTGTATCATCTACCGATAGTGTAGATGAAATGCTAGATTCATAGGTGTGTCGTAGACTGTAAGCATTTTTGTAACGCAGAATTATGTATATATACGTGTTAAGGTGTGTGCATATATATTACTAGATATAAGTTTTGATGATAATTGAAACCTTTTAAGTTTAATGATCTGCTCCACAAACATGACTGGGCATGCTTGTACGTGTATTACCGTATATGTATATGTATGTTTGTGTCTATATGTATGTATGTATATATATATATATATATATATATATATATATATATATATATATATATATATATATATATATATATATATATATAAAATATATATAATATATAATATATACAGACATACATGCATGTATGTTATGTGCATACATAAATAAGCATATGAACTCATACAGAAATCTGCATATACTCTCAACACATTCTTTTATATGCTTGTAAACACTATACACTGTAGATATAAGTAAATATGTAGTTGTAGATTTGCATTACTTCATCACAAGTAATTCCTGTTCACGCATCTACATGTACCCATCTTCCCCCCCCCCCCCCTATATATACACACTGTTGTACACACTCCCCCCTCCCCCCCGTAGACCTCCCCTGATTGAATCCCTCCCACTTGACGCCGGAGCCGCTAGGGGGGGGGGGGGTCCTCGAGGTTCGTGCTCCGGCCCGAACGCCACTTCCTGTATCATCCGTCGACTTCTGCCGCGCCTCCTTCATTTACGGGGCACTTGGGGCTTCATTACATGAGGAATGCTGGTTGAAATAGCCGTCCGTATGAATTGATATTTGTTTTGGGGGATTTTGCGTGTGCGTGCGTACGTGTGCACGCGTGTGTGCCTGTGGGCGTGCTTATACATACATATGTGCTTATGTATTTGTTGTGTATTTATGCAGGTACCTAATGCCATATATCTGTATCTGTGCGTTTCTGTATGTATGCATGCGGCGTGTATGTGTATCTATGTGTGCGAGCATGTATATACGCTTATGTTTTATGAGTGTGTGCATGCGTGTGTTTCTGAATGGTACACTGTTATCGGAGACTGACACCGTTAATCTTTCGATGGCTGGTCGTATTTCATAAAATCGATAACGGAAGCGAAGCGGAAGCGGCGGCCGTGCAGCGATGAGAATCATTAGCAGACAATGCTAGTTGGCGTGACGTCACGTTTTCCCGCGCCAGGAGGAGGATACGGTCGCTGTGACGTCAGGGAATTTTAGGCTCTGTCATGTGCGTTAGGGGTTTGCTTTTTTGGTGTTGAGTGTTGTTGCATTTTTTGTATG